TGCACTGAATTAACTGAAAACTGCATTCATCTTAACCAATCAGAACTGAGAAATTTTTTCATGTATATTATTAATTGTGAAACAAACAATCAAAGAAAGGCCAGTCTTCAATTTGAAGAATCTCAATCGGTTTGTCGATTCTCAGAAGTTCAAGATGGAGGGTCTGGAGGCAGTACGCAAATTTATCCAATCAGGCGACTTCATGATCAAGTTAGATGTCCAAGACGCATATCTTTCGGTACCAATTCGCGACAGTCACAAGAAATACCTACAGTTTGTCTTCCAAGGCATAACTTACGAATTCCAATGCCTACCATTCGGGTTATCAGTGCCCCCGGGACTTTCACGAAACTGCTATAATACTGTTATAATACCAGTCATAATACTGCTATGGAGACAAGGAATTCGGATAGTGATATACCAAGACGATATGCTTATTCTGGACCAAAGTCCAGAGAGACTGTCGTCAATCTTTCAGAGTGTTGTCGCTCTGTTACAACGTCTTGGTTTTCTCATCAAGCAGGAGAAATGCTCTCAAGCTCCCTCCCAGTGTCTAGAGTTCCTGGGATCCTTGATAAATTATAAAGAGATGACACAAGCCATTCCAAATGAGAAACTCCAGAATCTCCAATTAGAGTGCAAGAATGTGCTCAACAATCGCTGGCTGACACTGAAAGAACTCTCTGCTCTACTAGGCAGGATGAATCATTGTTCGCAAGTGGGTCTGGTACAGGGTCCCTTGCATTATCGTGCACTACAGAGGCAACATATCAACAGTGTTCCTTGGAACGAGGGCTTCTGCAACAAAATGCGAATTTATCTCACAAGAGATTCCCTGAACGACCTCCAATGGTGGACCTCCACCAAGATTCATGAGTACAACAAATGCCTAATCTCCCTACCACCGTTCAACATGATCGTTTACACAGATGCGTCCAAATGCGGATGGGGAGCTCACTACAATGGACGCACAACGGGGGGACAATGGGCATCCAAGAATCCAGACAACACATCAACATTCTCGAATTGAGAGCAGCCCTTCTGGGCATTCAGTCCTTTATGATGTCACAAGTAAAGATTCCACAACATATTGCTCTGCAGATGGACAAATCTACAGCAGTGGCATATGTCAACATGAGAGGGGGGACACGGTCGTCGACGTTAGCAGCCTTGGCAGTGGAAATTTGGAACGTTTGTCAACAGAAAGGCACGTGGATAACAGCACAACATCTTCCTGGAGTACACAGTGTCGATGTGGACTGGGCTTCACGTCACTTCAACAAATGCATGGAGTGGACTCTGGATAGGGTGATCTTTATACGCATAGTCACCCAGTATTACACTCCGCAAGTAGACTTGTTTGCGTCTCTTCTAAATCATCAACTACCCCGCTATGTTTCCCCGACACCCAGACTCAGGTGCAATGGGGATCAATGCGATGACGTTACAGTGGAACAAATGGACATCATTCATTCATGCATCGATTGTGATGCTGCCTCGAATTCTGAAGAAGATATGCGAGGATCAGGCAACCTGTCTACTAATAGCTCCAAACTGGCCAGGCCAGTCTTGGTATCCGTTACTACTGGAGATGTTGGTGGACATCCCTGCCATTCTTCCAATGTCAGAGAAGAGTTTATATTTCCCATTCAACCTTGAAGCTCAACACCTATTGTGAAAAACAATGAAGCTAGTGGTATGGCCTCTTTCAGGGAACGTTGCCGAGCAGGAGGCCTTCCACCGCAAGTTTGCAACATCCTTGTGGCCTCCTGGAGAGAAGGAATGAAAAAAAGATATGAAGGTCCTTGGAAACTTTGGACTAGCTGGTGTGTGTCACGGACTCAATGTCCCTTTTCAGCGACTGTAGCAGAGGTTTTACAGTTTCTGATTGAACAATTTCACACTTGAAAGCTTTCATACCGAACTGTCGGTGTTACAAATCCTGCATGATCCAATCGAGGGACAACCACTAGGAACACTCCCGCTCTTGTCTCGTTTTATGAAAGGCATATTTGAACTTCGTCCACCATTGCCCAAAATCTGTTCAACCTGGTCAGTTGGGACATTATTAGAGCATCTAAAGAACTTGCCATCAAACAAAAGCCTCTCCCTTAAAGAGTTGATGTTTAAGACGACTATACTATTGGCCGGAGAACGGTTGGGAGTTTACAATACCTCAACATGTTAATTCTCGACCGAATCACCCAGCAAGAAAAATTTACCTTCCATCTTTTCTGGAAAACCAGAAAATTTGTGTTATCGAGAGTCTGAAACAGTACATAAACCGAACCGCTCGTCTTCACAAAGACCAGCATCTTCTTGTGTCTTTTACATCGCCCCACTCGGCTATTGGGAGTCAGATAGTATCACGTTGGATATGCACTGTATTGTCTAATGCAGGTATTGATGCTCAATACACCGGTGATTCTACACGAGCTGCAGCAACATCTATGGCTACAGGTGGTGGTGTGCCTCTTGAAGATATCATTGCGGCTGCCAACTGGTCATCAGCAACAACCTTCAAAAAATTTTATCACAAGGCTATCCTAAAGAATAAGTTTGTTCAAAGTATTTTGGCTTCAGGCAAACCAAAATGACATTAACATGGCACATTCGTTTAAGACAAATGAACATGGATTTTGATATTGTTAATCCCAGATGGTTGTTTTAAAATAAAAAAATTTAGACATTGATAAAGAGTGTCTTTGTAATCTGCACCAGTATTGTGAGTATCAGTCAGAGAAGGAGTGACGGAGAAATTATATTTCCTCGAAGGGTACCTACCTGAAGGGGGGATATGGTTCTCCAAGCTCCTTCGAAGACTGATACGAGTAATACTGGTCCCCCTTTCCAGTGGTAGTAGACATCTATACCACCCCACCCTGGTCTGTTAATCAATACTCAGCTTGCCACTCAATCAGAGGATGTCATTACGCATGCATTGAAAATCGTGGGTTCCAGGCCGTCGCACGCCGCGAACTGCACTGGTCAGTATTGCTTGTATCAGTCTTTGAAGGAGCTTGGAGAACCATATCTCCCGTTCAGGTAGGTACCCTCCGAGGAAATATAATTTCCTTTTCCAACCCCCTTGCCAAACAAATATCAAACAGTTTTTGTTATGCTTCCAAGGACCTAAATTTTTCAATTCTCTGAATATAGAAATCCAAAATGTTGACACACTTTCCCTGTTTGAGTCTAAACTGTAAACATTACTCCTTCCTTGAATCCCTTCTTACTCTTCCTTACTTTTCTCAAGCTGCTCAAGTATATGTTTGTCTGAGTGCCTGCTATTGTTGTTGTTGTTGTTTTGTGTGTGTGTGTGTGTGTGCGGTGTGTGTTCTTTCCCTTTTAACCTAAAATATTTTGTACCTAAACCATGCCAAAAAAAACTGATACCTCACTTTTGTAAAATATGAGGAGCCTGTAGTTTGCATAAGCCTCTTGGTTTCCCTATGGGTTTCCTTGCCATATTCTAAATCTTCTGTTATATTATTATTTTAATGTGTATGTAATTCTTTTTATTTCTATTGATGTATCATAAATAACAAAATGGCAAATAAACAAATGAAAAAAAAAAAGAAAAATCATGTTTACTATTAAGGAGATTTTCCAAAAGGCCAAGTTTAAGGTCAGATGTTTCCATGGTGTCTATAAAAAAGTTTTAAGAGGTGATGAAAGGGGGTGAAATTCAATGCTGTTATCAAAGTCTGAAATTCTGATTTAAAAAACATCAACCTGACATTAAGCTCTGTTGTCTGTTCTCCTATCACAAAAAAGAAAAAAAAAAAATGCCATCAATATTTAAGTCTTTTGTAAACTACAATAACAAACCTGAAGACTTTTCAGAACTTTCTCTGGCACCAATGGCCCATTCATGTCTAAGCTCTGGTCCCTTTGAACAGTACTAACACTTGTAGATCCTGTAGATATTGATCTTGCCACTGGATTCTTCTCACAAAGATGGAAAACAATTGAGAAAATTAAAGCTCAAAAAACTATGATGACCTCAAGCAACAGAGTATGGTGACAACAAAGTGGTCAGTTATCCACTGCCCAACAATCCAGTTACTTTATGTCACAGAGATCTAGCTTTAGTTACATCATGTTCAATTATCTACTTCATATATCTTCTTCCTCCTATAATTCATTCAAATAATTTGATGTGGAAACCTTGTTGGTGATTTGGAATTAGGTTTAAGGACAATTGTTAGCCAAGGTAGTTATGCTACTTAGCTTGTGAAATAAAAGGGATGTCTGGCTGTTAACCAACATACATGTTTGCAAGTACATGAAGCAAAGCAAGTTTTTTGTTGTTCTACTTGCTTCTACTGTTGATAACCATAGCACACAAATCTATAATTAACTTCACTCTTTCATACTCAGTATATCTAAAGTTTACCTTCTTTCTAGCAGGTGGGATGGGTGGCTCCTCATTTATAACCTGTTCATCATCTTCACCCTGTAATTTCAGAAACAAAAAGGAACATTGTTTTCTGTTTACCTAATTCCCTACTCTTCACATAGCTAAATTGTAAAACTTCTCCCACCACTTCACATCATCTGCATGTGCTTTTGTTTGGGTTAAAATTCACTTCCTGTGATGTTTGTTTCAACTCAAATATGACAACTTTGGCTTATTTTTCTATGATATTAAGTTGCAAAATACTTAAACAGCACATATAACTTTCAATCATGACTTACATTTCCACCTTCCTGTTGTTGCCTTTCAAGCTCCTTTGAACGAATACTCCGTGCCTCTGCTCGGGCTGCTCTTTTAGCTGCAAGACGTGCTTCTGCCTGTAACCAAAATTCAATACTAACAATATGAGTGAAATTCAAATCTAAACTATGTCCAGTCATAACTATTTAAATAGTAATGATTTCCAGACATAATTCAGAGAAAAAAATGGAGTCAGAAAAAAAAAAAAAGTCCCAAAAAGCAATCAAACAAGCTTGACCAAAGTGTCATTAAGAACCATTAGACAGAAAGTCTGCCATCCTTATCCCTTCATCCCCTGAGAATGATAAACATCTAATTAATTATTTTTATCCAACAGTATCACACCTGAACAAAAACATTAAGGTCATAAAAATAAAGGAGATGATTGTGAACTCAAGAAGCTCTCGATTGTCAGACAAACTCTTTCCTTGTAAACACTATAGGAAATGTATATAGAAAAGTAAAGAGAACTTGCAAACTGTTGGTGGGGTTTTAAGGGTTAACCTGCTACTTTGGCTTCAGTTTACCGCAAGAGCTTTTGAAAAATCAAATAAAATCAAGAAATCTGTGTCCCAGCCAATTACCCAGTTTTGAGTGGAATTGAATACATAATGATGAATTGCCAGTAACCAGATCCTTGCATTTGCACAAAGATTTTTGGGATTACCACAGGGCAAACATTGCAACCCACTAGAAAGAAATGTATGGCGAAAGGCAGTTTTGATGGTTAAAAAAAAAAAAACAATTTTGAGAGAGATCAACCCTTTTTTGTAATAGTTTTATCACAGATGGATTAAGATAATTTTAATACAAGATAGGTGTAAGTTTTGGTGGGAATTACCCCGAAATATGTTATAAAATATACTGATAAACTTCTCTCCTTGTGTAAGGTCTATTGTGAAATCGTCATCACTTAATGGTCTTGACATATTACAAAATTAGCCATAAATCACGAGGAGACAACTCTTCAAGTCTTATCAGTTATATTAACTATGTAGAGCTTGTCTTCATACTTGTCCACATATCAAATAAACAACTTACTACGTCTGAAAATATACCTCCTCGAAGGAGAGAAGTCGTTGTCAGTGTGATGGAAATGTTTTTTTTTTTTTAAACTGAACTGTTGCTCTTTGGAACAAGCACTGAAAAACAAGAGGAAACCCCTGGCTCAAGTGATGGTTTGTTTGAGCAAAATCCAAACATTTTTGAGCTGCCACTTTTCTCCTTGAGCTCCTTGGGAGGATAATTATGTTGGGAAAGGCAAGATCACAGGAACTCCAGCAGAAACTGTAGACATATAATTGCTCCTTAAGCAACTCATTTGTACCTTCTCTACTTAGATATATTTGGTATGAATTGCCAAGAAATAACTCATTAAAGCCTTTTTAGTTTTGTTTAATTGTATTTGGTGTACCTTTACCAAATTTCTTGGCTTTATATCACAAAAGAGCACTGATACAGCTACCTCAAAAGAGCACAAAATTGAAATGGAATGCTTGAGCATTAAATATTATCGTGATAAATTAAAGTGATTTAACACCTACATTGCTTTCTTGTTGTGATCTATGAGAATGAACCAGTGTTGATAATCAGCTCAAAACTGAACCTTTTCTTCTGCAAGTTTATTGGTATATTTTATAACATATTTTGGGATACAGTAAAAACCCCGCAAGTAAGAACCTACATTTTTAGGAGTTAGCCTAAACAGGTTCTTATATAAATGGTACTTAACAAAATTTTAGGCTATTTAGGTTCTTAAAACAGGTTCTTATTCTTGGAGAAAAACACACCTGCATAACAAGTTGGTAATTGTCCTATATTTTAATTTTATTCACCACACCACCCCTACCCCCCCCTCCACAAAAAGGGAAATAATATAAATTTGTATATTTACATCTATTACAATAAATAATTTCAGTGTTCAGTGTACCTGTAATGTACTATATGATTTTAGAAAATAAGAACCTATTTCAATTTTCTTAGGCTAAATAGGTATAAATGGCAAATTTTAGGCTAACAGGTTCTTAATTTTTAGGTTCTTACTTGCGGGTTTTTACTATAATTCACACCAAAATTTACATCTACTTTGTATTAAAACTATCTTAATCCATTTATGATAAAACTGCAGTGAAAAAGCTTTTGATCTCTCTCAAACACTGTTTTTCTGAACATCAAAACTGCCTTTCACTACATGTTTCTTTCTAGCAAGCTGCAATGTTTACCCTGTGGCAATCCCAGAAATCTTTGCACAAACGCAGGGGTCCGGTTACTAGCAACTCATTCATCTACCAGCAAAAGGTTTTAACAAGTGCATCCATTCCGATTTTCTCAACTATTCAAGGGAACTTTGTAAAACGACTAACATATTTCATCTGACAATTCAACTTATGTGTAATCCAACAAAACAGCACATGTGGCATTCATGATTATCTAGCCACCAACTATTTCTTATTTGCCTTCTAATCTTGAGAAAAACCTTGCATTACACCAGATTACTGAATCAAACCTGGGCCAAACTGCTGGGAGTTGAACCCTCTGTTCTCTACAACAATAATGTCAGTTTTGAGGAGAACAACATCAGCTTAACCATTTAACCCCAAAGAGTGACAGAATCAAATTTCTCTTCACATTATCACTGCTGAATCAAATGCTTTAGTAGTGAGAATATAAGAAAGGATCACCACCTTAGGAAGTTCTCAGTTGAGAGGCAAATTCTCCTTATCAGTACCAGAGGAAATGTATAAAAGACACTATTGAGAATATGCAAACAGACTATACAAAAGGATTAGAAGGACTTGTATCAATTTTTTTTCTCTAATCAATGTCATTTATCTTTTGCCATCAAGAAAAATATATTTAAAAGCATTTTGTTTACAGGAGATAAACATTCACACACATTTGATTCTGGTTTCAAATGATGCATTTGTCTACATGTCTATTATTAACAATTCTGTGTGCTTCAAATTCAAAGTGTAACTTACTAAACCTCCAAAATCATCACCATATACAGGCAATTTGAATGGTTAACTGCTTAATAGAAAGAATGGTTTTAATTCCAATATCAATGACTGGGATTGTTATTTCAAAACCGAAAAAAACTAAAGTGCGACGAATTTTATCACCTGTAAAGCGGTTAAAATTCGAAAGTAAGATTATCAGCAAAAGAAACTACAGTCTTCAAAGGGTAAATTATCACAAAGCGCAGTTCAACGCGGACTACGAGTAGTTGGAACGTACTGAATTTATACAGGAAATGGTTTAGGTGGCCGCCCACCGTAAAAAGTCAAAGTGGTAGCAATCGTAAATAATAAACAACACCAACACGCCCCAGAGCGAGCAGGCAACTGATAAAAAGCTGGGTTATCGAAAGCTACGAAACTCGGGAACCATCTAACGCCATAGAAGGCAAAAAAGTAAAACTGAAATGAATGAAAAAAAAGCGTTCGACTCGAAATTATTTTCAGGATATGTTCAACAATGAGCATCACAGCTACCGCAAAATCGTGACTTGCTCTCATTAATGTAAAACTGTCACTAGAAATTGACATCATTCATGAAATGTATTCACGAAATTTACGACGAGGGAATTTAAATGCCCAGAAATTCAGGAAAGAACCTTGAAAGCTAACCCACGAAGGACCAAACAACCATAACAAAGCGTTCAATTACTTGGCTTTGGGCGAAAAATCGCTAGTTCTACGTCAGCATTAAAAATTCTGGTCCAGTAAATGAGTCTCCCGACACGAATCAAAATTCACGTTATAGAGATTACGGACAAATGATCTCTTACCTCACGAGCAATTTGATTTAAGGCCTGGTCTTCTGAAGAAGACGTTGTCCTGTTAAGCGGCCTTCTTCTACCGCCGTGTGCTGAGCTCATTTTCGACAATGAAGTCACACAAACACACACCTTCCTCGGCAACTTTTGAGCAATCAGCTAGTCTGGATTGAATACTAGAACTTACATCTGTTTCCACAAATTGTGCACAATAAGTCCGCACGTTTTGCAGTTTTTCTACGAAGGAGCCCGGCGGGCACAGCCTAATTATCTGCTTTGCTTCGTTCAACACTCCTGGAATAAATTCACAAGGCAAGGCAAATATTTTTCGCTTCGTAACACCACTTTTCCGCCATAGTCGCCTCTCGGTGGAATCTCCCGGATCAAAACCAAAAGAATACATGCGCTGACATTTTCCAATCGTGCTATCCGCTGACCGTGCTTCTTCCACAAGGGGGCGGGGCAGGCTCTCTGATAGATTGTGCTAGAAAAAGAAGAATATCCTATAAAATGCTACGAGCTTTACTCGATTTTTTTTCTCAGATTGTGCTCAAAATTATGCCCGCTTTTGAAAATTACGCTACTTCTTCTTAAATTGTAATTTTCAAAAAAACAAAACAAAACAAAAAACAAAAAGCAAACAAAACAAAAAAAGTCCAGATTAATTACATATTAATTGTTAGTAAAGCATGATATCTTCTCCATTTTGACTTGCTACGGATAAAACACAACCAACCAATGCCATTATTTTGCCTGTAAACGCGGGAACTGTGACGGACGAATTCTGTATTTCCGGTGTGTCCGGTCCTCTAAACGATGAACGACGCAGTATAGTTGGTGCTTAGGTCTGAACTTCAAGATGAATAATAATCGTAAATCAATATTTCGGGACTTCTATTTTAATAGGATAGCAAATTTGTGAAACAATATACCTAATGATGTTAGGCAGGCTGACTCTAGTGACTCTTTCAAGCGTAAACTTAAGTCGTTTTATTTCAAGAAGAGACTTTTCAACGTTTTTGATGGCAACAACTTTCGTCCTTTTAAAATAATTTGTCCTAAACAGCTAAATGTTGCCGTGTAAATACCCTTGTTGCGTGCACTTGTTAAGCAGCCTATTAACTCTATTTATATTATTAAGTTAATATTTTAGGAGAGGGTTGGGTTGGAGCTTAAACCTAATAGGGGACTTATGTCCTATTGTTTCTTTCTCCGGTACTGCTTTGTACAAATCCTTAAGTCATAATAAATAAATAAATAAATAAATAAATGAACTTGAAACTGACTGAACCATTGACTGAAATTATATATGAATTTGGTAATGTTCCCAACAAAAACACTTAAAATATGCTGATTATGCCAGTACTGCCACTTTCGTTAAAAAAGTGAAAAAAATATGGTCGTTTTTCTCAACTACGCCAAAAAATCCTGCTAGCACAATCTGCAAGGGCCTAGGCCTAATGGAGAGACCGTCTGTAAGAAACCCCCGCAGCGCCGAAAGAAGTACTAGAAACTTCCTAAAAATACAGGAAATTTCAATGTGAAGGTAAGTGCTGGTCATCAGGCTGAAAGAAATACTGACCGAATGCTGTTAGGCATAAATAGGTTGTGCTCGGCAACTTTTGAACAACTTTTAGCATTTTCAGCAACCCAGTTTTGTATTGCGAGCAACGGTCAGCAACCTAGAGCAACTTTTGCCTTCCTTGGCAACTTTAATTTTGAGTCAACAAATAGTTAAAAACTGACCAAACCATCAAAATGGTCTTTATCAAAAGGTTTTTTTATTAAAACTGGTCAAAACTAAGGATGTCGTATATACGTTCTTTCAAATACTATGAAATAACACGTGCGCCCACAAACTGGACAGCAGCTATCTATCTAACGGGTGCTTACATCCAGCGGTTATTCGCTCCAACAATAGAGCTTCCCGCACGCGCCGGCTCCACCAATTAGAAGCTGAAATGTCTGACGAGGAAAATGAAAATAATACAGATATTGACACTATTGAGTTCACCATAGCCGCGGGGGTGACTCTTAATATTCCTGCAAGAGCAGCAAAGAACTTCAATTTCTAGAAAGCGCAAAATTCACGTCAACGAAGGTCCTGATACAAACAACGAGAAGCGGTAGCATATCTCGACCTCGTCCTCAGGGAAAGGAAACACAACATACGCTTGGGATCGCGTGAAAGACTATCCAAAGCGTCATTAGAAAATACTTTCTATTATTAGTTACGTTGAGATTATATTAATCACAACAAATGATGTTAAATTACACATACAACGTCATGTTAATCTGGAACAAAATGACTCTCAAAAATAAGCAACTATTTTTAAACTTGGGTGGCAACTTTTAAATTTTTTGAGCGACTTTAGAGCAACTTTTGGGTGTGTTGTCAAGCAACTTTTGTTGGATTTATACCAGCCGACAATCTATTCATGCCCAAACGCTGTGTAATGGATAAGGTGGACTGAAAGCAATCAAGCCAATATCAGCAAATTGTTGGAAATTAGAGTGATTCTGTGAGGGATGCGCATAACACCCTTGCCCTGTTTTTCAGATTTCTGTGGCACTCTTTTTTAATAAGAAGTAAACCCCGTAAAACCTCATTGAACTGCGTTGTCATCTAACTGTCGGCCCTTTCACTCCTTACCTTTCATTCTCATCGTTACCGTCAGAGGTCCGTCTACCTCTAATAATCCCCTAATTTTTCTTTATTCTCATCACTTTTCTGCTTGATGTTGTATTGATATTATCAGGAGAAATTCTGTCTTGGTCATTTAGCGGGGTAAAAGGGGGTTGAGAGAGGCGTTTTTGGAAAAAAATTAAGCTTTTCGCATGGCTCATTAGCCGGCCCATACAGAGCACATATAGGGCCTACAGGGGGGTTGTATCCTCTGTAATATTTAATTTTTTTGGATTTGTACCGTTTCCGTAATCGTCTGAGCCAAGAAAGTATAAACTATTGATATTCTCTTGTCTGAGCTTATTGTTATCTTTCTATGTTATCAGGTTCACTCCTAAAATAGCCAGTTATACGACACTCGACCCCACAAGCTTCTAAGCGTTTTAAAATTCCCGTCGCGCTTAAATAAAGGTTTCACTAACACACGTAATAAGTCTGGTATTTGATTTTCAAACTGTCATCTAAAAAAATTTACCTGTCGGAGTTGTTTCGATCTTCCTACCTCTGTGAAATAATCAACTGACCAATGATATTACACTCTCCAACTTCCTGTCCACCCGCCTTTTGAAAAATACAATGAGCTGTTTGTACTTTTGTGCGTCACATGGCAAATTTTCGCAAGTAAAATGCTTAAAGTTAATGGCGAAAATGTCAGCAGATGCTCAGTAAGACATGGAAAACACGCAACCGAAAAAGGAATTATAAGTTTTCCATAGTTGATATGAGGAAATAATCTACCAGCTATTTTTAAATTTTTTCCTATCGATTTTCGAAAGTGAAGTCGCAAGATAACAAACATTTTTTTTCAACCCGCATTCAAATAGCATTGTGACCTTAGAGGTTTGATCTGTCACTTGTGACATTAATTTTGAAAAAGTTCTCCATGATTGCTCTAACTCGGAAATAATATTCTTGCTTAAATATACGAACAGGACACTTGAAAGAAATTAGGTACCCCATCAAAATTGATCTGTTTGAGCCAGCTGCATCCAGAATCAAACAAGTCTTTCTGGTTTGTTTGAAAATAATTCATCGGCAAAATAGCTTATCCTTTTCCTTTCAGTGGTCGATGATAGGTTTTCGCTCTTGCTCTTTGCTGTTCCGGTCCGACAAATATTTCACCAAACGAGAGCAGATGTGAAGGGGCTCTCCTTTTTTCTTACGATTTTGTGAAGCCTCTACAGCTGCAAGCAGCCATAAACGTGCCGGATGCTACCATTTGAGAGAGAATGCTTTGAAGCTCTCTCCGTCTAAGTTAGCAGTTAGCGTGACATACAGGATGGCAAAAAAAAAAAAAAAAGAAAAAAAAATTAAAAGAAAAAGAAAACCGCCAGCGGTGGGGGAGGGGAGGGTTGGAACGACTGAGTGGGCGAGATTGTTTTTCTTCTTCGAAGATACGTACTCAGTTTCGGGCCATTATCGAATGCATGATCACATTACAGCCGAGAATGTGAGATTCGCTCGCGATTTTGAGACTGAACGAATGGAGTAAGGGTAAGGTACAACTTAACTTTGGTTCTTCTTGTTAAAAGAACGAAATCCACGGGAATTTCATGTGATTTCTGCCAACCACCGCTTTCACATGAGAACCCCGTGATAGGCCAGTGCTTTTCAAAATATTTGACCGCCATGTCAGTCTTTGTACCTAGAAGTACGCTTTTTAGCCGCCATAATTACTAGGTATGCTTTTGCCCTAAAGTTTAACACAAATGGTGAGTAGCAGGGATTTAAAAGTGCATATCACATCTCGCTAGACTCATTTCTTTAGAATGGTGTTTAAGTGAGTTTGCTCACTGAACTTAACGACCATTGTGTTGGGTTTGTAATGAAATATGCTCTTAAATGCACATACGAATCGTTGGCAGCTGCGAGTAAACGCTCACAAATTTCGAACTTTCTCCATAATTCATCATTTCACTCTTGAAATTTCCGTTCTGTTTTCTTGTAGGGGATACTAAAGACCATTTGAAGTAAATTTTCACAACAATAGTGCAGGACTTGCTTGCTCTGTACTGATCGCTTTTGTGTGGAATTTGACGGTAATTGGGTACAAGCTTTTTCACATTTATACGCTGCCATCGGCAACAATGGATTCGATGTCTGTAAGTTTGAAGTGATTATTTTAACTGAGATGGCGGAAATGCCATAGATGTATGCCTGAGCACATCAGTCAGAATCAAACATGCGTTCTGTAAAATTACTTGTGCAGCAATTTGCTGTTTCTATATTTTATTTGGTTCGCAGTCATGCGAACACAAGTTTTCGTTACATGTCTGATTCATTTTGCTGCATTTGTCGAGCTTATAAGCTTCCAATGCGCCTTCCCTATTCATTAAGATTTCAAGGAAATATTTTGCTGTAAAGAATCTGTATCTGGCGACTAGAAACTTTGTCTCGCTACATGATTATTAGTTTCGCTTCCTGAGTATAGGGAAAAGTCCCTTCACCCCGAGTTCAAACGGATGTTTATGAAACTGGTCTTTTCGAATGAGATCAAAAAAAGTCCAAGCAGGGTGGGCAAAAAGGAACCATCTAAATATATGTTTTGACAATTAACTCAGAGTTGTCAGAAGCTGTAGATTTTTTCCTTAAAAGTCTGAACATCAGCTATAATGGCAGATGGCGTTACATTTATATACAAATGGCCGAGGGTCTAATCTTTGTATTTCCACCCTCTCTAGTCGCTTGAAATTTATTCATCAAGGATACAGAACTATTTTCACATCTGTGGAGAAACTTAAAGGAATATGTCAAATATACACATTGTGACTAATTCTATCTATATAATTTTCTTCCAGGAAATGATAATATTTGTTTTAAACCACATTTATTTTTTAATTTTTGGTGTCCGTTTGGCTATGAGTCTTAATTATTTGACTAAGAACTGTGTAATATATGTCTGCATTTACTAATAACCTTTGAGAAATTTTTGTTTTTAAGTGGCTTAGTAATGCACATAGCACATATGATATAAACCAAGTGGAATTGCAGACCACATTAGGAAAGTGAAAATAATCAAATTTAGTTAACAAGCACTTTCAATTAAAAACCGGCAGGGCTGGTATGGAAACATTCATCTGGGCCAGTGATTTCTATCAATGTGAATGCTAGAGGGTTGTAAAAATGGTTCTCAAAACCAGCAGTCATAGCCTGATTTAGACTCAGTTCAAATGCTGCATCAACAATATACCCCCCATGATGCATATCAGATTCCAGCTTGTGTGTTAACAAGGGAAACAATTAGTTTTGTTTCCCTCAGACTCCCCATGAGCACCTAGGTTTTGCCTTGGGGAACATTTAGCATCTCAGATAAACAAAACTCATTGTCTCTCATAGCTAGGGCATGTCATCAAGTGTTTTGCTCTACCTCCCAAGTCAAAAATGAAACAATTGATTAGAAAGTTCATTGTGACTTCAAAAATGTTATTTCCTTAATGCCAGTTGGCCATGCAATTTGTTGCTGTTTCAAGGTAAACAAGCTGAGCACGTGCAAGTCGACAGTTATATTAGCTATGGATTTGATGGGCTGTCACCCATAGCATGTGACATGTTTTCCCCTAATTGGAAATCATATTTGAGTTGGGAGGTTTAGCATAGTAGTCTGAATTGAGTTAACAAAGTCTATTTGAGGGTGGCGAAGGGAATTTCTACCTGATGTGTGATTTAGGCCAAAATTTTTATGTGCTACCTGAATTTAACAGAAGGCCAAACATGAAATATACATGACCCACAATTTTTTTCTTCAATTTGTTAAAACATCAAGATTTCCCTGAAACCTTTCACACAACATGAGAACAGAGATTTAAGGTTTTCCCTTTTACATACATGATGTCTGGAACACCAGCAAAGGAAACTGTCCCTTGTCAGGGTATCAAACACACAACTGTAAAATGGACAATTAGAATCAAAAGATGTAGGTCTTCAGTGCGTGAGTCACTGTTTTCTGCATGAGAAAGATTCACTTTACTCTTCATTGCACCTTGCCCTTTCATTATTTCATATACCTATTTATTTGGTGGTTTTCAAAATCTATTTGGTTTCTTATGAATTATTTTGTTTCAATTGTGGTTTTAGTTGTTCTCCAAAAGTTTACCAGTTTTGAACAAGAAGGACAACACTAGTGGCAGTAAAGTTAGTCAGCCATATTCCTTTTACAGCAAAAAGCTCGGCATGGCAAGTGAGCCACTACTGTTGTCAGCAGACTCAGAGTGTGAAGTATCAGAAGTACCAGAAGTAAAGGAATTGGATGCTTCTCGCAATCATTGTGAGCAAGCTTCAAGTTATACCTGCCCTTCGCATTATTTGGTGGACAAAGAAAATGGTACAGGTTCAGCAGATTTCTGCTTTTTCTGCTCACAACAGGGGCCAGTGATCCAGGAGAGCAGCTGTGATGATCGAATGGGTGAAATGAAATTCAAGTCACAAAGCTTGCAAATGTTGAATTCATTCTGTTCAAACAGTGCAAATGAGGAATCTCAGTTGTTGCCAGGGGATAAAAACCATAACTTCGAAACAGTACGAAAGTGTAATTCTGTGTCAGTGATAGAAAGTGTTGGGGTTACAACCAAGCCTTGTAAGAAAAGTGTGAGAGATCCTAGCATTTCTTCATCACTTAGCAAAGTTACAGATCTAAGGGAGAGTTCTGGATTAATGTGCCGTATTTGTCATGGTGGCAGTGAAGATGAAGAGCTCATACGACCTTGTAAATGCACTGGAACTGTAAAGTATGCTCATCAGAGTTGTATACTAAACTGGGTTTCAAAATCTGGACATCAGAGTTGTGAGTTATGCAAGTTTAAATTCAAGACAAGGAAGGAAAGCGTGAAGTGCTTTTGGAGGGTACAGTAAACTTTTCATTGTTTGTTACTGTTAAACCATATGATTGCACACCAAATTCCCATAACAAACTTTATAAGTCTCATGATTGTTTTGTGTACAGTTAGGATAATTTTAATGGCAATATTGGGAGTGAAAGGGAGTTGCATTGAAATGTTAGTAGTTTTAGCGCAGCTGTCACCCCAGATGAACAGAGAAAATGAAAAATTGTTAGTATTAAGCTGAAACCAAGTGTTCTCAGATATCCCCTACCTTAGTTTTGTAAGGGGTAGTAGTTAGCCTGAGGACATACTGTGGTAACACCCCAACGAGTTTTTGAAGTGCAGAACAACAATGACTGACCAACAGTTAACATTACTAAAGAATAAGGAAGATGGTAAGTTTTGAGCTCAGTAAAGAAATATTTGAGCGTGAGACAAAGAAAAAGTTCAGAATTTTTTCTTTGTCCCACAGTTGTGACTAGATGAAAAAACATCCTTCTGTATTTGCAGAGCTCAAAACTTACCATCTTTCTTATTCTTTACAAAACATGACATTGGGAGAGCATCAGGGCAAGGAATCCGAAGGTCTGAGGCTTGATTCCTCATGCCCGGGGACTTAGAATTTTTTTCTTTGTCCCACACTCATGACTTGATGAAAAAATATCCTTCTAAATTTACAACTAAGCCTTCAATTTATTTAGTGAAGATCCTATCAAATATAGTAGCATGATCCCTGCAGGCCAATTATGCTAGTTGTAAAATTTCTAATCTACAGGGTGTTGTTTGGAATTCTGCTCTAACCCTTTACACCCTTCATCAGTATTCATATTCCCCTTACTGTTCTCGAGACATTTCCTAAGGAGCTGACAAGGAGAATTTGTTTAACAATCAAGAGCTTCTATAGCTGATGATCGTCTCCTCTATTCATGTGACCTGAAAGCATGATTCAGGGGTAACACTGTAAGGGGAACTTAGATGCTTGTCACTCAAAGGTGATAAAAGGTTATAATCTCACGCTTTTACTCATTATGGTAACCATAAGTCATGGATTGCAAGGGAATTTAAAATACTGATGGCTTATAGCAATCTTCGAGTCATTTGAAAATTGAAGAGGATTTTTTTGGAATAATTAATCTTTTTTTACTCCTGTTTCTGCAGTGGTCTTTTCCTGAAGTGAGTACAAAGGGATGGCTACACATAGGACTTTTCATTGCATTTGCAACAATGCTTTTGACTTCTGTCACATGGATCATTTGGTCTCGTGTCAGTACTACCCCATCTGCAATTGCTGAACGTACAACAGAGGAAGTAAAGTTTGCCTACATGGTGAACGGTTTATTCATTGCTTTAGCTGTTGGTGGCTTGTACTTTGATAGTTTAAAGCATTTTAAACAGTATTCCAAACGATGGGCAGCACTGAATCAAAATGTGGTTGTGGAATGCTACACAACTGAAAACACCAGTGGAGTTCGAGGAGTTAATGTGCCATTACTGCAGAGAGCACGTCCACAGCAGTCTTCAAACAGCCCAGCTGAGGAGGAAACTGAGAGAGGCCAGACATCATCAAATGCCAGTGCTTCTAGAAATGATTCTGAAGCATGGGTGTGATGGCTGTACAGATTGGAGTTCAAAGAGCAGTTATATAGTAACAAAGATAACCCAGGTTACAACCTGTATCCTCTTTGTTTACTTATACTTTTGTCTGTCCACCATCTGACTACACATGCAACATCTTCTACACAAAATTTTGTGCAGTGTTCAATGTTTACCTGCCAACCCTTCCACCTGAAATGTGATTCTCTGGCTTTAAGATCAGAAATACAATTTCATGCCATCGTATGGCTGCTGATGAATTTCTCGCCCCTGCCAAGGAAAAAGACGAGCTTTTGCAGCCTTGTCCGACTCATTCCTACAAATAAGTGAAGTATATTTTAAAAGTTTGAGTCATTCAGAAAGGAGAGAAGTACTTGTGATTGATTTTGCTCCCCCTGAAAAAAGTCATTTTAGAAGGGAGACCTCTGAAGGTAAGGTTGTCACAACTCTCCTGAACATCCTTGTAAATTTGGAACAACCCTGACAGCTTTAAAGATGATCCCTACCTCTAAGAAAAAATATCACGCCTTAGCAGTTAGTAGGTATATTGATTAACAAAATACATGAAGTTGGTCTCCTGCCTGTGTATTGGTGGCAGTCAGAAATAAATTGGCAAGAAAGCACAGCTATTACATTGCAAAGGTTAGATGAAAAACTTCCCTTTTTTAACCCAGCTGACAAAACAAATGGCCATAAAATAATTTAAAATAAAAAGATGGGTGATGGAAGCATGGTATATCTATACCTGGAACCATAAACCTGTTTGTGTAAATATGGTGTATCATCCCGGTGAAAAAATACATTATTAATGGTAGTTATATATTTAAACCATTCAATGAAATGTGAGGCAAGGAGGTCAGGGGCTTTCCTTGAGGCAAGTTCTAGGAAATAAGCCAATTCCATTGTTTTCTTTTTTGTTTTTGAATATTGTTAGATTTCTTTCAGACACAAAATGTAGTATTGTTTTCACCCCCTCAATCCCATTAATGAACTAAACTTTTTTGCCATTTTATAGTTATTTTTATTTATTTTTTTTTGACCACAGCTATCTCATTTATTGTATTATTAACCTCTAAGATATCAGGAGCAAGGCAGAAAGCCATTATGTTGCTCTTTCGCTGCTTGGAGGCAGATAGGCTATTTGGCATCTGAGGTAGCATGCACGAAAAGGCACAATTCACTTGTGTTGTTTGTGTGAGAGAGAATTACGACCAATTATGGCTTTAACCCATTGACACCCAAAAGTGATTAACATGTACAACTTTTCCCTATCATATCCATAGTTTATCTAGTAAGCTGGTGATCAATATACTGAAACTTATCAGATAAGAAACGTTATTTTGATCTAAAACTAAACTCTCTTATCTCATTTACAAGGAAATGTGTGACAACTAGAAGGGAGAATTATTAATCAGATCTTGGGAGTTCAACGGTTATTTCATGACAAAGTGTGAAGCCGCATATACTTTCTTTATTTTCTCCTCTGATATTCCCCTGTTTTGGAGTTGTCCCCTCCTCCACTTCTCACCGTATTTTCTCCTCTGATATTCCCCTGTTTTGGAGTTGCCCCCTCCTCCACTTCTCACCGTATGGGTCCGAAACACTACAATCTGACGATAGGAAGGGAATGTACACGTAGTCTCGAATGAAGTTAATTTTGTGGTGTAAAGTGTTATATGTATTAAAATATCGCTCGGGTTACATAATGGCACAAATATACTTACAGTTAAGCTAATATTGATTCTTCAGCCATGAATGATAATGCAATTTGTTTGAGCCCGTGACTTGCAGATTTGCCCAAATTTTTATTGATAGATGGTTTGATCAGACTGTAAAGTATGTCGTAAATCAATTTGCTGGCTATAACTTGCAAGTAATAAGTTGTTGATATATTGCTCAGTGTAATCTTTTTACATTCCCTCATGTAACTGTAATTGGTAGGGTGTATTCAACATGCGCGCCTTTAGCGCAAGCCAACCAGTACCTCAAGCATATTTGACAACTATTTACCCAAGTGAAGGTACAGCTAGTTGTGGATATCCACTGCTAGCCATCGACACTGAGGTGAGTAGTTGTTTTAGTGTATACCAAAACAGTGAGACAATATAGCACAAACATATGATTTTAACTCATTTATTCCTGTAATGATTGCGACGTTTTGAGACGCAAATCCCCCCGAGAGTTACTCGGAGATGAATAGGAAAGGATACTCCGAGTTAGAGTAGCCAATCAGAGCGAACCTTAAACGATATCCTCTGTTTTTGTATATACTAATCCAAACTATTATTGCTGCAAGCTACGTTGACGTAGGGTATTAGAATTTCATGTAGCAAAATATAGAATACATATAGAATATTGACCACTTAAATATTTGGTTTTGTCAAACAAATCGAGAGAACATGCTTATTTTGCCAATCAGTAATTATAATGTCTTTATTTTTCTTAAGACTTGTTCTTGCTTAAAAAAACAACTCGAATTAGTTTTAATAACTAAACAAACGTTTATGGACTATCGGAAAAGAAAAGATACGGACTCTACCGTAGCGAAAGGGTAGACTCACTGTGGTCTGCGTCTACAGAAAGGAGCAAGTTTAACTGGTTCCTCCTTTCCAATTTTTGTTCGCTATGGTTATCCTTAACTACGGTTAAGGTTATAATAACTTCCATTTCTGGTTTCAGTTAAACCTTTCATTGCTTTCAGTAAGACCCGGCACCTGCTGGAGCTCCGGCGGGTATTCTGTTGCGATTCGCCGGGTATATTTCACCGCGCTCAAGTCGCGGTCACATTATACGCTCAGGTCGCACGCAAGTCGCTCTCCGGCGGGTGCTGTACTGAGGTAGCCACCTATTTAAATTCTTATTGAAAGCGCTGTAAAACTACTTTTTCCTCTATGTTGTCCACTCTTGGTGGTCGCAAACAATTAGTGTAGTGTTTCCATCAATCTTTACGAAGATTTTGTAAGTGACTGTAACTCTCAACCTAGGGTTTGTGGCGTTTATTTAGGAGTTGAGGAGTTGAAATAAATTGCATATTATATATGTTAAGGTTATGACATGACTTGCTGTTTGATTATTACTGTAAAGATGGGGTCTTTTATTAATCAGTTCCCCATTCTTCCCAATCGTTTAGATTATTGTATGCGTGTGTGTAAGTAAACCTTCGTCATTTTTACTGCGAAACTCAGAAATACGGTGAACACGGCCAGAAGCATTCATGGGTTTGATCGCGTGTCCTGATCAAATCGGAAGAATCATTAGTCTCGCAGTGAATTCATGGCTAACGCCAAAATAGCGGTCACTGAGTTCGCGTAAAACTTTCAGCTCCATGCACCGTCGGAAGGTCACGCAGCCTTGAGCCCAGAATTAGAACTGGCTCTCACGTTGTGTACTGTATTATTACGGAAGCCGCGGGTTTCGCCCATAACGAGTTTCGCCCAAACCCAAACGCGTTTCGCCCAGACCTAGACCCAGACCATAACTGAAAGATTATTTGGTTATATCAACTATAAGTTGAGGTTCTAAATTGGCCACCGTAACGAGTAAAAAAGCTGACGTTTCGAGCGTTAGCCCTTCGTCAGCGAGTGGAGTTTTTTTAGAAACTTTTAAACCTTTGACTTTTAAACCTTCGTCAGAGCGAATGGCGAGTTTCTTTAGAAACTTTGAGCCTTTATTCATAATTGAAAGAACTGGGTACACAGAATAAGAATCTCAAATCCGACTAGAATTATTTCTGACAAGAAAGGTCGAGAGTCGTAAGAAATACAAACCGTCTTTTCTTGAATAGAAGCCGTGGTTTCTATTTTTTTTTTTTTTTCAAAAGGAAAGTAATGCGGCTTCTATTCAAGGGCGGCATCTATATTTTGATAGCCATATTCATGTGTGAAGTGGTCAATTGTGTCTATCGTGACGTCTATCGGAAATAGCAATCGGAATGCAACAATTAGAATAGAAAACACCTTTAAAAATGAAAAATCAAGCCCGAGGAAACCAGAAATCTCACTCAAAAATCAGGATTTTGAAAGTCATGGCAGAGAAAAGGAAGAACAACGACTTAAAATTTAAGTTGAGCGCTATTAGATAATTTTATCTCCTTTATATTGCGGCTTCTATAGGTGGTTTGCAACCAATCTCTAGAGATACGGGTAACAATGGTGAAAGGAACAAATGCTGCTGGACGATCAAAAGAAGCTAAAGAAATACCCATTGTTTACGTCCACGAACATGGCGGCCATGACGTAACGTGCAAACCACCTATTCAAGGGCGGCTTCTCTTTTTTCTTTTCATGAAATTTCTGCAGCTTCTATTCAAAGGCGGCCTCTACTGAAGAAAAGACGGTGAGCTTACTTTGCCTCGATTATCGGGGAATATAACCAAACCAGAGCAAACTTTCTTTCCACTGAAATAGACTCAAACTTATTTGATTGTCGGAACACATTGTAATTATGCATTGCTGCTATTCGTATTTAAATTACATTTGACTTCACTTTAGAAACAATAATTTGTGCCAACTTCGCACCTTTCCGAGTAAAGTTCAGTTTTCTTTTCAAGTGCAAGGGTGAGATTTTTGCAAGACAGAAACTTTCTTTTAATAAGATAGATAGATGGAAACTTTATTAACGTGTCAACGAACCTTCTAGTTTGGGAACTAGAAGGTTCTTTGACACTTAGAATGTTCCTTAAAGGTTCTTAGAACTTTCAACCGCACGCTTTGCCGGAGTCAGAAAAATTAACGCTTTCAACAGCGATCAATTTGCTTCAACACGAAACACTGAAACGCGACCTTCTCGAGAGAGTAAGTGCTGCAGATAAAACCAAAATCATATTCATACTCTTTCGATAAAGATTTTTAAACGGCTCTTTTGTATTTCGTGCTTGAATTACCTCTCCCAGTCCCTGCTTGATTCTCAGTAAAAAAGACAACTTGTTCGCTTCAGCATTTTTATGGCGTCAGGAAAAGTCACGTTATTCAAGGCATTCAACGTTCGTTCTGGGCTTACGCATGTTTCATCATCATCATCATGTTTATTTGTTCAAGCAGGTTGGATTTATTGGCAACTGTATAAGCTGATGTGGACCTGCTGTTTTCCCACCCAACCCACCCCAGGGGAGGACATCCAGCACACAGTAATTTCGTGTGTGGGAAATTAACGTCTTTTACCCCTTACCCTTTAAGAGACGGGACCTCCGGCTTTACGTCCTATCCGAGAAGACGAAACAATGTGAGTGAAGTGTCTTGCTTAAGGACACAACGTTAAGCCCCAGCCAGGACTTGAACCCGGGCCGTTTAACCCAGAGTCCAGCGCACTGACCACTGGACTACTCACGCCTCACNTTATAGCCAACTCGGCGCTACGCGCCTCGTTGGCTATCTATCATCTCATATCCAACGCGCGCTCGTGGAATAATTGTTAATTACATTTAAAGATACAATTAGTAGATTGGCAGAAAGCAAACAATGAGAACCTTGGCATGGACTATCAAAGTCCGGTTCGCGCAGATGTTGATTTACTTGTTCCTGTATCCTTGAGGTAGGTTTTTTACTTGCCAGAATAATTGCCCTACATAACACCTAAGCGTAATGGGCATGAGTGAAAGAGGAACAACGCGGAAACGTGTCCAGTGACAGTGAATATTGCTTGATTAGTGTTAGCGAATGTCTAATGAGAGCATGCTGAGAATGATATAATTATATACCTAATGATGAAGGATGACTAATGACATTGGCTGATGTTTGGTCATGGCCAATGATACCTCGTGACCCTGGAAAATGTTGGCTAATGATGGAGGATAATGATAATGTCTAATGATGCTTAATGACGGCGATTGATGTCCAGTGAGAGGGTGAAATGTCCAGTAATGAGAAATGATGTCCGTTGAGGGGGGAATTAGTTGTAACAGTTAATGGGGTAAGTCCATTAGATTAACAACTCTGTCAAACGTCGGGAATGCGCAAAGGGATCAATTTTGGCTGGTGCCGATTTAATTCCCGCGCTAAGCAAATTATATGAAACAACCACTTTCCTACAGAACGTATTTACGGAAGAAGTCGAAGAAAAATTAGAAAAAGCAGAGAAAAGGAAAAGGCGGGAACAGAAAGCGTATTTATTACGCGTATGTAATTGATTTACCCTTCTGCTTTGACCTCTGTCAAAAAAAGTGATAGTTTTTTTATTTTACCCCAGTAACCAAGTGGCTTCTGTGATCAATGTTATACAAACTGGCCCTTAAAATATGAAGGTACCCATAACGACCGCAGTGCCGGAACCGTGGTTTCATGTGGGGTCCAGGACTCTGAGCAATGGGCCGTACCGAGAAGCTCTGGGTAAGAACTAGGAGCCAATCAGAGGGTCGCATCATAACTTTGGCGCGATTTGCAGAGAAACCTTCGCGGCAGAACCTATCTGATACTTGTGATCCATAGATAACGAGCTACTAGAAGCCTTTGATGACTTTTTTCTATGAGTGAAATCTTATTAGGTAAAGTCATTGATAAGGTACGGAGATCAACACTTGAATTTCATGTTGGCATGAGACTTTCGTGTAATCGCAAATGAGCTGAGGAGGCTGAGGTCGTTGGAATACACGCGTCGAACATGGACGCATGCAAAACCACTAATGATCTCAACTTGAGTAGGTTTGCGATCGAGCCTGGCTCCTCTTAATTGTATAATTGCTTTTGCTGCAGGACTTAGAGATTTGATCTTTGAAATAACACCTGAGAGGGAAAAATGGTAACTATACCAGAATGCGAAGGGCTTTTCGAACCTCTTCTTCTCATTCTCGAAGACAACATGGCGGCGAGTGATGATCAAGTCGATGCTTACCTTAGAATGACAGAGTAAGTCGCGAACGAAAACTGGTTTGAAGTAGGTTTACGTGTTAAATTCAAATTTTGGTATTAGCTGGTAGAAGTGGGTTTATGATTGGCGATCACCCTCTCCATGCTATCAATATCAAGTAAGAAAGAAAGTATGTTGACGTTTGAAGCTTGACACTTTCCATGTTTATTGTGAATAGTCAGTCTCGAGGATACTGGTTCACCACCCTCTGTTCGAAATTTTTTTTGCCCACAATCAATGATTAGCAAACAGTTTATGAGAGGAAACAAAGGTGATGTCTATAATGATTCTAGTGTATCACGCGAGAATCCAGTTCGCTTCAATTCATGTATATCCAGCTACAAGGCAGCACGATTCAAACAGGAGTGTATTTCTAGATTTTGCTTCAAGCTGTCATTTGTCTGTGATGAAATTTCCTTCCAGGCGCTTAAGAGAGGAGGAAGATGTATTTGTCAGGGAGCTGCTTAATCTTATTGAAAGAGTTATCGTGATCTTTCGGGTAAGTTGAGGTTGCATTGGTTGTTGTTGACCACTTTATACAGTGTTTCTTTTCCTAATGTTAGAAAAGGAATTGAAGGAGAAGCATTAACAAATAACTTGCACTGTATGCTGCTGATAAGAATGGATAATCAGTTTCTCCTCGTGTACATTTGTAAAGCAATCTAAAAGTCTGGGCCTTTTTCAATCATAGAGCTACATTCACAGACCTGCTTTGGCAATGTTGTTTTGTGAGCATCTCGATTTTACTGCACTATTTTGATGACCCAGTAGCTTGGACATTAAAGCTTGTGAAAAAACATTATGAATGAAACAGTCATTATGCATGACATGCTAATTCTTATGTGTTAATATAACAATTTGTTTATTGTGACAATTTCTGTTGCTTATTTTCTACAGAGAGATATTCAGTCTGATAAGTCAGATCTGTGTCAAGCATCACTTCAAGCACTGGGTCACTGTCTCTATCAAGAGCAAATAGCCAGGTAAAAGTAGTTATCTTTTTAGTTACCAGTTTTACTTATAAGAGTATAGGGTTACATCTTAGAACAAACAACTGGCAAACTTTAGCAGTTTCTCTCTACAGCTGTAGGTTTCCACTTTATACATTGTGCACTACCTCTGTCAAGGACTTAAGATGTGGCTAGGACACTTTAAGATGGCAAATGGTACATTGAATTATCATGGGACTCTTAAACTTGACATGCAATGTTAAAATCTCTCCAGCCTTTGCAATGAGTCTCAGAGACTTCTATGTTATGCATTTTAACTGGACCCAGAAGTCATGAATTTTACTGGTTCTTATCATGTCATTTTGAATATTTGTTCACTCAATTGGTTAAAGTAAGGTCTTTGATGATTGCAGCAATTCAGAAATAACTTAAATGTCTTTTTACAGTTCAATTTGCCTGTCAGATGGTCAAGTTCTCATTCAAGGTAAGTTTTGCACTAAGTGCCTCCTTGATCAACTGTGCTAATGATATTATAAAACAGATGTAAAGGATAGGAAAATGAGTGAAAGCACAATGGCAGTGTGCTCTAACTAAATCCTCGTATGATAGTGGCAACTGCTGTATTATTGGGTTATAACCTTGTTAAGATTACCTTAAACCTCAATTGCGTGGGTGATAGACTTTTTTATCACAATTAAATACCGCAGCAGAAATTCTATGCCACGCCCGGCGGGTATAAGTGAACAGTTGGCATATTTGTCAGCATTCTCTTGGCAATCAGCGAGCGATTAACGTTGTTTGTACTTAGTGCAATCTGTAAAATTTTCTTTTTTCCTTCTATTTACCTCCCTATCATGGGGAGCATCGCATATGGTCTTAGGCAATAAAGACCCAGTTACCCCCAATTGAGTTGGTGTGTATTTACTTAATTGAGTTTGTTTTTATAAGAATTTCAACATTTATTGTAAACAACCTATTGTAGGTTTTTTGTCAAGTGAAATTGTGACACTGAATAGCTTCTATCCTCGCTAAAATTGCTTCAGCTTCAATTTCCTTGACTAAATTTGGTGTTATCATTATCTCAGCACTAATCCTATCAATCTCTTGCAGGTCTTCTGTCACAAATAAAGGAGTCTGAAGACAAAGGAATTTGTACTCGAGCATTATGGTGCCTTGCAAAACAGAATTTGGATAGTGCGATAATAAACACTAAGGTATCAGTATTATTGAATGTCACACCTTTTAGATAAGATGTTAACCCCTTAAGATTTCTTGTATGACTTACACTGAATGGAAACATTACCAATTAGCTGGGCCGTTTGTTTTCTCTTTAGTTGGAATCCATTCTTATTACCTTGGAATCAGTCATCACAAAGGATCTCCAATCTGTGACTGTGGATCATGAAGCTCTTTGCGTGATTGACAGGTACAATGTATTACATATAATTTTTGTAAGCTGACGACTGCTGAAAAAGTCAGTCACAGATCAGAGTTTTTGACACAGTCAAACTAGTTGCTGATCCCATTTTGATTAAGTATTAATTTTTAAAAAATATCTTGCAGCCAACACTGGACTATTTTTAACACTAATCCACAAATCGTAGCGTAGAGGCAATACACTAAACACAGAGGGTCACTCTCTAGTTTGGTGAATTAAACACACTCCTTAAAAAACCTCATGGTCTCTGGTTTCTCCCTCATGTACAAAATACAGTTCTGTCCTTCTCTCGCAATATCTTTTTATTAGCAAATTCTTTACAAGTGTAATTTTCGGCCGTTTACCCGCACAGCTGATTACCCGCACCGGCCGATTATTTGCATGCAGCGAAAAAAAGGTCAACAGATTATCTGCACTGATGGATAACCCACACCTTAAAAACAAAGGAAATTTGTACAAATGTGCTCTAGAATTCACAACGTTGCATACTTGACAGAATGCGAATTCGTGGCCACATTTTGTGCGAACAATCGTTCAGTGCCATGTTGATTTCTCAAAAAAATTTATATCTCTGGTTCCACTGGGCCTAACAAGTCCCTTATGTAACTGCAGTAATCGTAACCTCACAACACCACAATGATAAAGACGTATTTATTCGGTACGAATGATGTTGATGGTGTGTGGGTTGAAACTTAAAACACTAAATGAATACAAAATTACAACAATTGACCAATAAAAGTGACAAGAAAGAAATACACTGAACGAACTGAACAAACTTGAAATGACAATACTTACATTGTTACGATTTCTATGAAACTGCTGGACGAATATAAACTGCCAAAAGGCGAAAATAAGATAAACTGGAGTACCTGCTCAAAGCGAACTACTGTATGACTAACAAAAGACTAAACTCTGAACTTGAGAAAAACTAATTTATATATGCGAAAACGACTAGCTGACTTAAAGTGCAATTAGCACCTATATTACGAAAGAAACTAATTAATGAAGACACGTGACGTAGAAACATCAGAAGCTAACTAACCAGCGAAAAAAAATACTAACAAACGACGAGAAACAGGGACAACACAAAAGGACACCCTAATAATTGATTGAATGAGAAAAATGAAAAACAAAAAAAAACATTCTGCATGCTAAGACCCTACACCTTAAACGGGAAAATTCTCTTCAGCTGAAGCTAGTGTTCACTGGAAATTTGTTACTGATGGGCTGGTTATCCTCAGTTTATTTTTGTCACCATCAAGGTTTTGTTTACACGCGTGCCGATAGTAATTTGTTCGTCACACAACTAATTGTGCGTGAAATAAACTAGAGTCGGTATCATGTTTTCTTGCCACTTTGTGGCACTCTCAATACAATAAAATTCATCTGAGAAGTGGAAATGCAGGTAGGTGAGAATTTTTTTCAATTCAACTGCCAGTAGATTTCAAAATTGTCACATAACCCGTACCTCCCTATTACCCACAGTGGCACGTGTTTAAGGAAAAATCAACAGATTACCCACAGGTAAACAGCCGGAAATTATGGTAACCCTTTCACTCCCAAGATCTCATTAGTGATTCTCCTTACTGTCTGCTATATAATACTTATGATGTTACTTTGGAGAAATTAGTATTGGATCAACGTATAATCCTTAGTTGATATTTTTCTCTATTTTCATCATTTGTCTGCTTGATTTTGGATTGATATTGTAAGGAGAAATTCTGTCTTGATTGCTCTGGGGAGTTAGTGGGTTAATGACTAGAACACTGATTTCAGGGTTGAGAGGTCATGGTTGAAGCCTGTTTGAGGTCACTGAATGGGATGAATCATTCATTTAATTTTTTTCATTTATTTATTTCTCCAAACCTTAGCAGAAATAATATTACATACAAGGTGAAACATAAAGTAAAAGATAAAATACTTTCAAGGAAAGAAAAATTACAATACAAAATTACACCAATATTATTAATTTAAGTCACATTGTACATAGGAAGGAGAGGAGAGGAGAGAGGCACATCTAGATAAACAAATATTGTATCCCTTAAATTATGCCAGTATAACAAGTAAAAAAAAGAAACTATAATTTAAAAAGGGATGAATGAAAGAGAGTTGAACCTCAGGAGCACTTCCAATGATTCTTTCCCTAACCCTGAGTATCGCTTTAATGTAGGCTTCTACAACAGCTTCCAAAGAATGAAATGATCAAGACAGTTGACACTTGGGCAAAGCTGGTGTTTCCTCTGCTTGTTAGCTCAGCTATCAAGGTGCAGTAGCAAACTTATAAAGTTTAAGCAAATATAATAAGTTTTAGGTTCATTGCATGTCAATTTTTGGAACAGGTTATCTGTAGGTTCATGCAGCTGTGGTTGATTAAACGTCTGATAGTAGTCAATGTATTGGTGATTTGTTGCTCAATGGTTTGACAAGTGTCAGTTAACCATTGGCAAACTACATGTAATGTTCTTGGGACAGTACAAAACGTGGACCCCCCCTTTTGGACCCCCTAACTAGATTAAGAAAGGATGAAAACAATAAATACCTGGTGTGACTTAGGAGGTCGTCATCAAAGTGGCATTTCATGCTACAAACATTAATTTTTTTGCCTGAATCTTCAAAAAGTGCTACTAGAAATGTTAATTCTCCCGTGTGCTATCGTGGAATCCATTTTGTTTCTAAGTTAGAGTGGGGACCTCAGCACAAGGCTACAAAACTTCCGGTCTTTTCCTCCGAACGACTGACCAGATTATTCTGCCATTTTGATTGCATCATTTCGTGTCCTTGGCTACCGCCGCTGACCAAAAAAAATTGTGGTCACCATACACGGAGCTCTATGGTAGAATGTTGAAGGTACATGTAGGGTGTGTGATTGTTTGGCAAGAAAATGCTGTGATTGTTTATCGATGGCTTCAGGAATGTCGAGATTGCATACAAAATGTGAAAAAATCACACACCTACCTTCAACATTCCACCATAGAGCTCTGTGTATGGATGAGCACAATTTTTTTGGTCAGCGGTGGTAGTCAAGGACATGAGGTGATGCAATAAAAAATGGCGGAAAAATCTGATCGGAGCCGCCGATCAGAGGAAACACCAGAAGTTTTGTAGCCTTGTGCCGAGTTCCCCACTCTAACTTATTAAAAAAATGGCACGCACGATAGCACATGGGAGAATTAACATTTCTAGTAGCACTTTTTGAAGATTAAAGCAAATGGTTGTGGCATGAAATGCTAATTTAATGATGACCTCCAAAGTCGCACCAGGTATTTGTTTTCTTCCTTTGTTAATCTAGTTAGGGAGTCCAGAAGGGGGGTCCACGTTTTGTACCGTCCCAATGTTCTCCCATAATTATCCAATGTTTTTTTTTTAATATCTAGTTGTTACATTGTACATAGCAATATTTGTTACCCCTTTCAAATAATTATGTTTGCCATTGCTTTGTAAAGCACCATGCACAGTCTCTCCCTTATTTCAAGCATGATAGATAAAAGAGATTTTCAAACAAATCAGCAATTCCTATACCACTTAAGCTTTGAAGAATTCCAAGCAATTTTAGGTGGTAAGAAGAGGTACATTGTACTACAAGGGGTAAATTCCATTGGTTACTGTTAGTAGTTTTGTAATTGAGTATTAAAACCAATTGTGACCCTCCACAGGATTTCCAGCATAATGGTGATAACACGGGCACGCGTGCGATGACACTCCACGCTAAGCGTGATATGTGACACGCATATGCGCATTTATTAACAAGGAAACAGAGAGTGTCACAGTAGCTTTTGTTTTTCATGTCTTAACACGCTCAATCTTTTATTTTCAACAGCATGTTAAATGACACGCTTTGTAGCGTGTTAAAGTCGTGCGATATGGCACAGTAGCACGGAAAGAGTTGTTAGGCAACCGAAGAGGTTAAGCAAGAAAGCCTTTAGTTTTAGAAGTTGCTCCGCACATTGAAAGAATGGTAGCAAAAAATACGGCTTATGTAAAAAGTTCTTCCTAGCACAAATGCTTTCGCCATACGCTGACTTCAAGCAAAAAGACAGCCTATGTAAAAAGTTCTTCCTAGCCAAATGCTTTCACTGCACGCTGACTTCAAGCAAAAAGACGGCTTATGTAAAAAGTTCTTCCCAAGACAAATGCTTTCACTGTACGGACTTCTAGCAGGGCCTAGCGACAGTTTGACGATTCGATGGCCCATTAAATATTATGTTCGAGCAACAATGTGTTCAGAAAGTATTGTTTAATAGAGAATTTTGCGTCAAATCAAAGTTTTTCAGAATTTTCAACGTAACGCTGCGCAATTTCTTGCCATGAAGGCAAGTAAACAAGGATCTAAGCATGATGAATTTTACTGCGTGGGCTTTTTACACGTAAGAAATTCATACGTTTGTTGCTTATAACAGAAAATCAAAAAACTGTTTTGAATAAATCTGTCGTCCCAAAGTATTTCTTGGCCATTTTAGTATTGCTTCCTTATTAATTGATTCCATGGAACTTGACATTTCACTCACGGACAAATTTGCATATTCCCGTTTGAAATATGATCCACAGGCTCATTTGCACACATGCAAAAATATTTAGCGAGTTTTATCTTTTATCTTGATTTTTGAGAGAAAACGAAACATGCACCTATCGCTTTTTTTGACAAAAATAAGTTCTTTAATTAGTCTTCTTTCACTGGAGCTTGTTTTTTGGAAAAGATGATTTTAAAAATTTACTGCGCATTGTGTTTACTTTCTTGGTTTCTCCAAAATTTTGACTTTTCGTAGGTACGTCTTAGATCATGTTACACATAAGTGTCAATGGGTTAAACTCGATCTTGCTCTAAATTTCCATGTTTTGAGAAAAGAAAAATGGGTTTCATGTGACAAATCTTGATTCAGGTGAAGTTTACAACACGAGTCAGTGATTCGATGATGAAAATAAGTTACGAATGCAGGTTTTGCTTTAATGGAGATAGGATAATTTTTCGCACGTGCAATCTCTTACAGATGTTTTGATCTGACATGGGTATTATTTAACACGCGGGATATTTCACACACCAGAGTGCAATATGACACGGCATAACACGGCTTTTCTTTTCACACCCTTTAACATGCTTCTTTGTTTAACCTGAACACGGTTCATTGTTTATATGGAACAAAAGAAAATTTTAATCAGGAGTGCATTGTGACACGCTGCTACTGTGTTAACGAAAATTTCTTTTGTGTACCGTGCTAAAATAGTGTGCCAGTGTCATCACCATTATGCTGGAAATCCTGTGGAGGGTCACAATTCTAATAGAGGCTGCACAGTAAACACCAAATTTCATCCGCCATGCTTTTAATAGTCAATCCCATGAACCTTTGTAATCTAGATCATGAAAGCCATACTGAAAGTACTCTACAGTTATGGCTCAAAAAGGGGAAAAACTGTATTGGTTGAATTTAAGAAGACTGTTGGTCATCTGTAAACTGATCACCAGCCAACTCTCACCTGATACATTAATTGACTTTGGACTGATATAAACTCATTTGTGGTCTCTTGATTGTTAAACCAAGACTTCCTTAATTACACATGATCCCATCTTTTCAGTTTGGCTGGTAGAACATGTTGTCTTACTTAAGAAAAGTGACGCCAATCCTTGGTTAAAACGCCGACCGAACTTTAATAATCACTACCTAAACTACAGTTACACAATATATCACAACCTCAATATGCATGCAACTTAGCTATATATGTTTACTCTCTGGGACCTCTCATGTCATGTATCTTACACCTAGTGATGATTCCTATTATTTAAATCCTAATTCATTATCACTATAACATTAATTAAACCCTTAAGTTCATTAACAGTATAACAGAACATTGTTAAATTTTCAAACTGTTCTCGTCTCTCTTCCAGGTGTGCGAAAGGGCATTAGTGGTGATGTATGCTGGATTGGAGCACTTGATGTTGTCCCAAGATAGAGTTATAAAAATTCTTGTTCCACTTCTGAAAGGAGTGAGTTGATATTTTTTAATCCCTTTCTTGGAAAATGAGAAATCCTTTAACCTGTACGTCCATCTGATCAACATGACTTTCCTTCAATAGTTCCAAGAACATTAGCATTACGATAATGGAGTCACTGTGTCTCTAATGGCAAAATATAATCATTAAAATTCAATCACTTGAAGCAAAATTGAATCAAATTGAACCAGGTCTACAATAAGTATCATACACTCTCGGACTCTCCTGTTTTGTTTTCCTTTTTTCTTGTGCATCTTTTTGTGTTATATTTCTTCATTTCTATTTTATTTCCATTGTAATTGAATTAAGTTTGTTGCAAAATAATTGACCTGTCCTGATTGGCATTTTCTAGCTGCAGGTCAAAGGAATATCTTGTAAATATATAACAAAATAAAGTACAAGTATGAAAAAAGTGTGAAAGATATGTCCCAGCCTGAGTAGGTACCCTCTATCTAGTAGATTTTAGCTAGGGTCACATGGATGTCACTATTCAGCATATCTTGGCTTTCAGCAAAATATCCAGTTCTAACAGTAATAATTAATGCTGTAAAAGATATTCAACTTTTATTTAAAATATCAAGAGCCAGATTTATTGTTAATTTTTCTTATTTCCAGAGCTTGTTGAAAGAGTTTCCTAAAATGTGTTCAGAAAATAAAGGATTATTTGTGCTCAAGTGTTGGTGCTGCATTGTCCAAATTCTCGGAGAGGTGGGTAAAAGATTTGGCTCACTGAGCATGGCCTGAGCATACACACAGTACGTGCCACCCTCAATCGTTGATTCTGGATCCTTGATTTTCTACCCTTGAATGTTGGAAAATTTTTAGAGTGAGAGTACAGTTTTAAGTCAAGACGATCAATTTACTTTTGAGTGGTGCTGTAAGGTTAAGAACACAGTAACATATATGCATGTGTATCTTAAACCGGGTGAGTTAATTTTTTCTTTGTTAACTTCAATACACACTTCTTGTTTGTAAAAAAAAAAAATGAACAAAGTAATTTCCAAGAATAATCTAGGTTAGGCAGGTAGTGTATGTGAGTTGAAAAATTATTGAAGGTAGCAGAAATAATCAACAAACTCTTCATATGACATGTCATTTGTTCTCTGCAGACCTTGCATAGAGGGGGCAGTTTGATTAATGACTTACTAAAGCTTGTTGAGCAGGTAATGTGGTTCTCAGTTTATGTTACTGGGATTCAATTGATTTTTCTTTCTTTAAATTCTTCCTTTTGTTGTGCTGAGCAATATTCGCTGAGTCTTAAGACAGCTATTAATGTTTACAATGTAATATTACTTTTAGGGATTTCGAGATCCATCAGATGAAGTTCAGGTTATGTCCTTTTCTGCTTGGAATATCCTCATTGACAACTTTGCCCTCTCATCAGGTAAATTGAACCCATTGACTCTTAACTGAGTCAGCAGTATCTAATTTCTCCTTAATGTATCACTGCTGAATCACAACTTCAGGTCACAAAGATAAAGAAAATGATCACCAACTTAGGAAACTTTTGATTGTTAAACAAATTCTCCTTTTTAGCACTTTAGGAAATGTATAGATCAGAGTAAACATACTGATATTAGGGTGTAAAGGGTTTTCAATTCTTCACAGGAATTTTATCAAGAAACATGGTAGCAGGAGAATAGTGTAAACAAACAAATATCCTTCATTCTTCATGTCTGAATGAGAAAGAATCTCAGGTCATCCAAATTTAGTGGAAGAATTCTCCAATCTCCAATTCCGCTCCGCTCGCCATGGTCACAAATTCCAGGTCCAGTGGCTTTCTACACACTTAAATTTTTAACAGGGGTGGGGTTGCTTTTGGTAGTACTCATAAATATGGTGTCTGCATGTGGGTGAGGAACTGTTTAGCAATATCTAAGGTACAACTCAATCAAATGTTATACCTTTTGGGGTTGGGGGTTGGTGGAGGGGAGTTCATTTTTCTTGTTACTCAATGTAGGATAATTGTGGTCAGTTTAACTGCTACCATGGCAGTGGCTGCAAGAATCAAACCAACAGGGTTTATGTGAAATATATTTTTAAAAAATTCCATTTAAATTACTATTTGCTATTGATTTGTGATAAAAGAGAATGGTCATAATCATTTTGGATCAGTTGTTGTTGCATTGTTGCTAATTTTCTTAATTTATACTGAAAAGAATAACTGGCAGATGTTGTTACAGGTAGCTTAAAAAAGCACAAAGCCTGTGTGATAAATCAATTGAAAAAAGACAACTGGGAAATGCTTCTTTTCCCAGTTGAGGTTGGTAAAGTTGTTGAAGTTCTATCAGCCAACCAATTGAAAATCTGTATTTAAAGTACATGACAAGATAGTTAACTAGCCTTACTTGGAGGAGCATAAAGTGAGCTTATGAAAGCCTCACCAGGTTAAACAACTTCTTGGTATTTATTCTCTCCTAAGACCAGTAAATGTGAGCACCCATGGATGTTATTCACAAGAGCCTTTTGAGCCTTCCTTTGGCCAATTAATCTGGCAAATGCCACTTGTGATGTCAAACTCTATACGAGGGTGAAATGCTGGTAGAAGCCTTCAAAGCTCTTGTCCAAGCTTTTCCATGAGACCATGTGTTGGAAGAAAGCAGAGCATGTCCTTTGCTCTGGTACGGAATCATAGCTGGTCACGTCTCAATTGATAATATGTAGAGATACAAAGGACAGCTGCATTTATATCAGGTGACTGTCAGCTAAGATGCAGCCATGATCTTAAGGGCAGTCTTCAGTATGGAGAAACAATCTTGTGTCTTCCTCCTCAGATGGGTCTCCTTGGAGACCCATCTGTGAGCTGAAGTGCTAGGAATGGAGGACAGTTTGAACTTCAGAACCTCTCTGAGTTTTATATCACTAAATCTTGACACAATAAGCATTTTAGCAGATGAATTCCTGTCTGCGCTCACTGTTAAAAGGTTCTCACCATGGCCAGGTTGTTCAAAACACAAGCAACCTAACCTGGGGTTAGTGTGAATTTTTAACTTAGTTTTAAAGCTTTGCAAAGGAATTCATTCTTTTAGATTTTTTTCCTGTTGGTTTCAAGTCATAATTTTTGAGATGAAACCTAACAAAAACTTTGCCCTTATACATACATAATTGGAGGACCCTGGTTGTCTGGCTTGACAGCTCCTGTAGCCAGTTTGTTTAACATACTTAATACAGCACTAAAAAATGGATCCGTTCTGACTCTATGGTCATCCTAGTGCAAGTCAGTTTCTCTGTCCCTATTCATTGTACTTTTACCAGATTCTCTGTGTGCTTCAATTACTGTGCAATAAATCCTTTATGTCTTTGGTAACTGTAAAAATTACAGCTTGCTCATGGGTAGTAAGAAACCATCTTTCCAGGCTTCTGACTTGTGCCAATTATGCCACCTTAAGACATAGAGTTAACAGTTATGCACAGGACAAGAGCCACATATAGAGCTGATTGACTCTCCAATCTACTAACAAATCTAATGCTATCTGGAGCTCTTATCAGAGCTCATTGACTCCCTGATCAAACAACAAAATTCTTGCAATCAGGAGCTCATATCAGAGCTGACTGATTTCCTCATTGACCATCAAACTTCACATGATCAGGAGCTTTTATCAGAGCTCATTGACTCCCTGATCTACCAACAAACTTCTGGCAATCAGGAGCTCTTATCAGAGGTCATTGCATGACTCCCTGATCAACCAACAAACCTGGCAATCTGGAGCTCTTATCAGAGGTCATTGACTCCCTGATCAACCAACAAACCACTGGCAATCGGGAGCACTTATCAGAGCTCATTGACTTCCTGATCTACTAACAAACTTGCAATGGGGAGCAGTTATCAGAATTCATTGATTCCCTGATCTACCAACAAACTTGCAATGGGAAGCAGTTATCAGAGTTCATTGATTCCCTGATCTACCAACAAACTTCTTGCAACTGGGAGCTTTTATCAAAGCTCATTGACTCCCTGATGTACCAACAAACCTCTGGCAATAAGGAACTCTTATCAGAGTTCATTGACTCCCTAATCAACCAACAAACTTCTTTCATTTGGGAGCACTTATCGGAGCTCATTGACTCTCTGATCTACCAACACCCTCCTTGTAATTGGGAGCTCTTATCAGAGCTCCATGACTCCCTGACCAACCAACACAATTCTTGATATCAGGAGCTCATTGACATCCTGATTGACTAACAAACTTCACATGATCAGGAGCCCTTATCAGAGCTCATTGACTTCTTGATCAACCAACAAACTTCCTGCAATCGGGAGCTCTTATTAATGCTCATTGACTCCTTGATCTACCAACAAACTTCTGGCAATTGGGGGCTCTTATCAGAGCTAGCCCATAGACTCTCTGATCTACCTACAAACTTCTGGTAATCAGGCGCTCTTATCAGCTGAGCTCATTGACTCCCTAAATGCATGACCATCCAACTCCTTGGAATCAGGAGCACTTATCAGAGGTCATCGACTCCCTGAACCACCAAAAAACTTTGGGCAATCAGGAGCTCTTATCAATAATATTAAAGCTCATTGACTCCCTGATCTACCAACCAATTCCTTGCATTTGGGAGCTCTTATAAGAGCTCATTGACTCAATCCCTAATCAAAGAACAAATGTGACCTCTCACGCGAAAACGTTCCTAACGGTAGCCGTTCGAACAATGAACGGAACGGCAAGCGAACAGGTGACAAACGGCTAGGAAAGCCATTCGAAACGGATACTGTGAACGGATGAAAAGCTAATTAAAATTTTCGAACGGATGAATGGCTAGTGAAAATTTTCAAACAGATGAACGGCTAATTAAAATTTTAGAACGGATGAGGTCGAACGGATGAACAGCTAATTAAAATTTTCAAATGGATTAGGTTGAATGGATGAACGGCTAATGAAAATTATCGAACGGATGAATTAACAGCTAATTTTTCGAACACAGAGATGAGCCTCACTGATGAGATCGAATGGATAAACAGCTAAGCGGTCAAACAAGTGATTGCCTGTAGAAATTATTTGAACAGATGGTTTCATCAAAACGAATGCCGACACAGGCGTCCCAAGCTCTCGTCTTGAGCCAAAGCGAAGGATTATTTCATGAAAGTGTCACATGTTGGGTGACGCGGTGTTAAGTTACGCGAGGTATTTGACACAATCTGTGAAAAGATCACTTGAAACTAGTCGGAACTTGATCGTTTGAATAACTCGACTTTGCTTTTGGCGCATTCAAATGGATTACAATTAATATTTTTTATTATTGAATCCAACCAATTAAGATAAGGTACAACCAAGGAACTTGCACATGAAAAGCATACAATTCGATACTTCTCAACTTCAATTCAGGTTTAAATTTCCATAATCCCAGCTTCCCTGTCAGTCCATCAAAAATGCATTGCCTTGGTAACTGCTAACAACTTGTGTCAATTACCACCATTTCACACAATCACAAAATGGAGAATTCAACGAGAGAAGATATGGATTGCAATCACACCGAAAATGTTTCTATCATCGTTGCCTAAGTGCCAAGTGAATGGCTGATGAATTTTCTCGAACAGATAGCTTGAACCGTATGAACGGATGATGAATATTCAAGAACGATTAGCTGGAGGCGTTCGAACGGATTATGAATACTCAAGAATGGATGGCTGGAGGCATTCAAACGGATGATGAAGTTTCTTAAACGGATAGCTCGAACGGTTCGAATGGATGATGAATATTCAAGTACGGATAGCTTGAGGTGTTCAAACGGCATGCCAATCCAGTCGAACGGCAGATGAATGGCTATCCGTTTAAAAATGGCTAACCTTTCGGAACGTTTTCCCATGAGAGGTCACAAATTTCTTGCAATTGAGAGCTCTCATCAGTGCTTGTTGACTCCATGATATACCAACAAACTTCTTGCAATCTGAAGCTCTTATCATAGCTCATTGACTCTATGATCTAGCTACCAAGAAACTTCTGGCAATTAGGAGCTCTTCTCCGAACTCATTGACTCCATGAATGACCATCCAACTCCTTGCAATCAGGAGCACTTATCAGAGGTCATTGACTCTTAGATTGGCCAAAAAAGACCTCTGGCAAGGGTGAATTTTTATCAGAACTCATGGACTCCCCCTTCAACACACAAAATAATGATTTTTGATGATCTGCTGATGGAATGATGGCCACTCATTGACTCTCAGTTATTAAATGTCCATGATTTAAACTTGAAGCCAATGGCAGTGATTTGTTGTATCTATGGAGTTAAAGTGAAGATTTATATCAGCTGTTGCCTCAAAATGTGTTTCCCAGTGTCTTTTGGGCACCATGTTTATATAGCTTTCCTCTGAACTTAAACTATGGTGACAAACTCTGCTTCTTAACTCCCCTGAACATGTGATAATGTAGCACTCTGCAGAGGATATGTATCTTTCCTCCCTTCAGTGGATGCTGCCTTTTATGTGCAAATATTTTTGTTAATTACATCGTAACTCGCTTCTTCTTTGAGGTCCAGGCACAGTATGCTTTTCACTGCAACCTCAGCAAAGCTTCTATCAAAAGCTTGTGTGCCTTAGTTATAAACTGACTGCCATTGAATGACTTTCCTTCAAGGAGCTTAATTGTTGAATAAAAGCCACAATGGCCAGGTTCTGTGATTATAATTTATTATATACCGCTTTCTCAAAATTTCTTGGCCATTGCAGCTAGAAAGTTAAATGCAATATGAAATCCTCCAAACAAATCATAACATTTGCAAGCCCTTTAGGGTAAATGTATCTTTGCCTTTGTATATATAAAGCAAGATTAATGATATGGGTTTTTTTTGTTTTTTTTTGTTTTGTTTTTTTCAAATGAACAACTGCAATTTATTATTTTCAGCAGTTTTGACTCTTTCACAAAACTGTGTTTTTTCTTGGTTTCTTTAGCAACTGTTGCCATGGAAACCCATGACAACAGTTATCCAACCAACCAAAATTACCTTGCATTAAGTAACTGCCATATAAGTTACATCATCCCTCCAAATTTACTCTACTTGGTTGAGTAGTTCTAAGATGTACTGCTGAAAGTTCCTGAAGATATTAATAATTCTACTTCCAAGAGCACTTCACTGCTACTAATAGCAAGTCACTGACCCCACAGTCTGTGAATGCGACAAAGGTAGTGAAGATTTCAAGGTATCAGCCTATCATAATCTAACGTCAAACCCTTTGTGTAGTGGGGTGTTATGAGATTGACTTTTTGTGGCTTCTCCTCCTCAACGATCACTCCAGACTATTCTGAACAATAAAGCTCTAATATTTGCTCCTAACAGCATCACCCCTGAATCAAACATTCAGTTGATGAAAGTAAAGGAAATGATTGGAACCTCAACCATAGGAAATGGAATAGTACACAGAACTTGCATACTGATGTTGGTGTATAAAGGGTCAAGTGAAACCTTCTGACCAGTGACTGTTATTTTTGTTATATGTATTATTATTTCTAGGTGTCATCAGCAGCCCTAAGAGGGTCAAGCTTATTTTGACTCCATTAAGGGTAAGAAAAGGTTCCTCACTTTGTGAAATTAAAATCCCCACATATAATCAAAATAATTCCTAAATCTTGTTTCTTGGTTCCTTGTAATCTGTGAACCATAACCTGGCAGTAAAACAAACCTGGATAAAACAGTGTTGCATTGATAACAATCATTTTGATGAAATTGCACTATTAAGAGCAGTTTGAAATACATTTAAACTTGTTTAACAGCTTTTCATTATGCAACTCGAGCTGTGAAGTGTAACTATTTGAACTTATTGCTAGCTGACATTATTAGCAGTTTAAGCATTGCAGTAAATGAAATGTCAAATTCTCTTCCTCAAATTCTTTAACATGCATTTGTAAAATGCATTTATTGCTTGAGAAAATTTTACTGCAAGGTTGAGGCATGGTGGGTTTGTTTATTTTAAAGTTCATTGACTACCAGATACTCTTTCGAGATCGTTTTGTGCACTAATTTGTCCTTTTCCAACAACGAGAAAGGTTCAGAGATCACTCTTTCATTTAGAGCTCTCTTTTAACCCCTTTGTATTATTTCTCTGTTTAACTCTCTTCAATCCCTCCTCTTTGCACCTTCTCCTCTTTGTTTCTCTTTTCAGTCATCGTGGGTTTTAAATTTTCATACATGAACTGTCAATAATTTATATGTTGCATTAATTTTCAGAACCTTGCTGTCAAGGAGAGAAGTGAAACAGTTGAAGCTGCCAGACTTTCCACTTGGTGGCATTTTGTTTGTTCATTGGGTCCAAAAGTTCAAGAATTGTTTGATCAGGTATAATAATAATCTTTTTTTGGCCCTGATGTACAAAATACTGCTAGTTATAGATTATAGGAGAGCTGTAAGTCATATTGTATTTATCTCACGGTAATCATAAACATTTCACTTTCCCTGACTGATATGATTGGGCTTTCTGATCTTAAATGTCTTCCCAAATTTGTGAAGAGTGCCATTTCCAGTCCTTTTTAACCCTAATTAACTCCCATGAGTGACCAAGACAGACTTTCTCCTTACAATATCAATACAATATCAAGCAGACAAGTGATGAGAATAAATGAAAATATCAACAATGGAATTTTAGTTGATTCAATACCAAATTCTCTAAGCAAACACCATAAGAATTGGATAGCAGATAGTAAGGAAAATTGCTTATGAGATCTTTGGAGTAAAAGGGGAAACATATGGTTACTTATAATACTAGCTTTTTGGAACTGACATTTTGAGATAATTTTCAAGATGGTTGCAGTGTGAAGTCATGAGTCTGTGCATTGTCAAATTGATTTTGTTGGCAACTGTTTTTATGAGGTACAGCTGTTAGAGGTAGTTGTGCAACACTTTCTTGAGGTAGGGGTGTATTTGCGTATCCCTTTTTTTCACAAGGAAATTGCGATTTTCTTCCTGCGACTACATTTGAACTCTGTCACAGGTAGATATCACTAGATCAAGGGTTTTTTGAGCTTGATCATTATACCTGTGAAATTTAGTCTGAAGAAAAAGTGAAAATGTACATAACGACTTTGTACTATTTTTTATTTTAGGTTTGCACCCCACTTCTTCAGTTTGTCTTTGGCACAGCCATTGATCAAGTCAGCTCATTGAAGACAAAGGAAGGGCTCAGTGAACTCAAATGCCCTCCAACACCGACAAACAACAAACTCTTGTCAGATATGATGGCAGAAACACCCAAATCAAGTATTCGCAGATCTCTGAAAGACATGGGAACTCCAAGAACACCAACGGTGTTGAATGCAAGTTTTGCCAAACCAGCAAAACAAAAGCTTTTAGGACAAGGGTGTGAGATATTGATGGAATTGCTGAAGACAGAGGACACATGCTTCAGTACAAATCCTGATTTTATTGTTTCACTTGGTATGAAATTTTCCTTGCTGATTGTTACCATGGTTGTCTTGATTCATTGAGATCCTTTAAAACAACACAAATATTTAAGTGGCTAATGGCTGATGAGTCAACAAGGGTGAATACAGGGTTTTCATCAAGTCATAGGAGGAGAATATTGTAAAGTAATGGGAAAATACTCACCACATCTGATTTCAGTGAAGCCTTCTGTAGGCCAACAAAATTTACAAGAACTGTAGTTGTAGAAGTTTTGTGGTTTCCTAAGATATTGACCACTCTGGAGTAAAGGAATTTATTATCCTACTGAGCCAGTGAGAACTCAAGGTAAATATGAGGGTGTCCCGAAAACACAGACCTCGAAAACACAGACTGCAGACCTCGAAAACACAGACCTCGAAAATACAGCTAGACGTTGAAAACACAGACCTCGAAAATACAGACCTTGAAAATCTTTTTCGACATTTCAGAGAGAACCTCGGTTTTGAAGCAGTTTTTTTTTTTTTCGATGAGAGAGATTTAGTCAAAACAAGCATTATGTGTGACCGGAAGTCGACAAAGATTAATTAAAATATTTGCTTTGTGTTAAAGCCAGTGGTCTACAAACAAATAAATTTTGGTCAAAGTCGCTCTCAGTTACTTCAATAAAGCTTACTTCGATAATTTACGCGGACACGTCCAACTTTAAGGGCGGTACAAACTCATTTATGGCTCCTTAATAGACCATCCCTGGTTTCAGGTTGCAGTTTCCACATATTCCTTGAAGGCAAAAGTTTAAGTCCCTTGTCAGTTCGGTGATAGCAATAGCTGCCTGGGAAAAACCACTACAGTGTAAAATGTTGAAAGGCTTCACCTGCTTGTGTGCTATCGAGGCAATTAAAAAATGGGAGGATATCTGAAACCTAAACATCAATACCGACTGGCTGGCAGGAAATGAAAACACTGACTCGTACGCCACCATTATGCATTACAGCGATTGATTTAGGACACAGCTGCGACCTTTAGATGCTGCAGATTTTGTAACATCTTCATCTCTTTGCTACGATCTTCAGATTTGAGTCTCCTGGCGCTGCTAAAGAAAACAAAATCGCTTCACAACCATGGTTCTCTTTGAAATGTCGTAAGCAAATTTTCGGGGTCTGCGTTTTCGAGAAGCCCTCTGGGTTTTCTCGAAACACAGACCCAAAAACGCAGACCTCAAGAAACTGCAAACTTTACTACATGCCGTATAGTTTGTAACTTCTTGGTCTCACAAGCAACGCTTTACAACCATGGTTCTCTCCAAAATGTATAAAACAGAGTTTTTAATTTGGGTCTGCGTTTTTGGGTCTGTGTTCAAGAAACCCCCTGGGTTTTCTCAAAAACACAGACCCAAAAACGCAGACCTTGACAAACCGCAAACTTTACTAGATGCCGCATATTTTGTAACACCTTAGTCTCATAAGCAACGCTTCACAACCACATTGATGAAGTAGATGATCAGATGATCAGCACCAGCACATGATCCAAGCGTGGAAATATTCGTCACGCAATACCTTGCGTGACTAATGCGTTATGTCAATCAAATTGTGTTAAAGACATTTTTATTAAGCGCGAGAATGAAAATAGCAAAGAGGGGAGAAGAATGTTTAGAGTCTAGTTGACATCTGATTATAAAGCTTTAAGAATCCGTCAGAGTACATGAGTACAAAAACTTGGAACCGAGACGAGTTACATTGGTTTGCTAAAGTCTGTGCAGCAGTTTTAAATATTCTCCCATATAAAAGTCCTTTTTTTTAACATAACCAAATGTTGAAAAAAAAATTTTGAGAACTGCAATGTCGAGGCCTCGAAAATGCTTATGAGACTAAGGTGTTACAAAATATGCGGCATCTAGTAAAGTTTGCGGTTTGTCCAGGTCTGAGTTTTTGGGTCTATGTTTTCGAGAAAACCCAGGGGGTTTCTCGAAAACACAGACCCAAAAATGCAGACCCAAATTAAAAACTGTTTTAGACATTTCGGAGAGAACCATGGTTGTACAGCGTTGCTTGTGAGACCAAGAAGTTACAAACTATGCGGCATCTAGTAAAGTCTGCAGTTTGTCGAGGTCTGTGTTTTAGGGTCTGTGTTTGCGAGAAAACCCAGGGGGTTTCTCGAAAACGCAGACCATGAAAATTTGCTTACGACATTTGAAAGAGAACCATGGTTGTGAAGCAATTTTGTTTTCTTCCGCAGCGCCGGGAGACTCAAATCTGAAGATCGTAGCAAAGGAGACGAAGATGTTACAAAATCTGCAGCATCTAAAGGTTGCAGCTGTGTCCTAAACCGATCGCTGTAATGCGTAATAGTGGCGTATGAGTCAGTGTTTTCATTTCCTGCCAGCCATTCGGTATTGATGTTTATAGGTTTCAGATATCCTTGTATTTTTTAATTGCCTCGATAGCACACAAGCAGGCGAAGCCTTTCAACATTTTACACTGTAGTGGTTTTTCCCAGGCAGCAATTGCTATCGCCAAACTGACGAGGGACTTGAACTTTTGCCTTCAAGGATATGTGTAAACCGCTACCTGAAACCAGGGATTGTCTATTAAGGAGCCATAAATGAGTTTGTACCGCCCTCAAAGTTGGACGCGTCCGCGTAAATTATCGAAGTAAGCTTTATTGAAGTAACTGAGAGGGACTTTGACCAAAATATATTTGTTTGTAGACCACTGGCTTTAACACAAAGCAAATATTTAATTAATCTTTGTCGACTTCCAGTCGCACGTAATGCTTGTTTTGACTAAATCTCTCTCATCGAAAAAAAAAAAGACTGCTTCAAAACCACGGTTCTCTTCGAAATGTCAAAAAGAGATTTTTCAAGGTCTCTGTTTTCGAGGTCTGCGGTCTGTGGTCTAGCTGTGTTTTCAAGGTCTGTGTTTTCAAGACACCTGTAAATATGAGTACAGGTTGATGGCATGAAGGGAAAAAACATCTCAGTTAGCACATCATGATTGGGTTTTGTCTTGTATCAGATTCTGATCGGTTGAGGAAGTGCTGTTGGTGGCACAAGTGTTTTAGACCAGTCATAGAGCAAGTGAAGCAAAACCATGCTGTCTCCAATTATTTTTGATCGATACTTGAAACATAATTGAAACTTGCTTTTGTTGTGATCATCTTTGACTGGTCTCTTAAGTTTTGAGTTTTGTTCAATACTATAATTAATTTCAATATTTTCTCTTAGCTGAGAGATTGCAGATGGTAACTTTCAAGAAGCCAGAGGAGTTTAAGAAACATGCTCCCCTACTGACAAGTGCTGTGAGGGAAGCCTTCAAAGCTCTTGGTAAAGACCTTACAGGTAAATGTAATTATATATAAATGACTAAAAAGCATCTCTTCATGGGAGAGAATTGAGTTTGTGTTACTGACTATTGAATAAAAATAAATTACATGAAAATTTACAGGTCATAACTCTTTTGAAACTCCATCTTTTATTCATTCCTTGATATTGGCGTCATGAGGTGGCCAAAGGGTGGAAACATTAAAATTTTTATAATTTGTTAGTTTTTACTCGCTTGTGTATTTCTAAAGCATTATTGATAAAAACCTATATGTAATCACTCAATTTACCTGTAAAGGCACAAAATTGGAATTAGATCACAGCATTATTCAGTAGATACTAAAGCAGTGGATAACATTGAAAGCACACTCTTATTGGCTACTCAGACTCTGATATTTTGTGCTGGAATATAAGATTTTTTCTTGAAAATATTGTAATATTAATTGTGACAGGTCGATAAATGAGTTAAAGTTATCTTTTTGTGCTATATTATCTCACAGTTTTAGTTTGTACATAAACAACTATTCGCCTGAGTGTGTATAGTGTCAGTGACTAGCGGAGGATATTTATCTCACTGCTATAAAGCCTGGTGCACATGTATCCACCACTGGCCACCTCATCTTCAGTGGATAGTTTGTAATGATGAAATAAGAATAGATTTAACAAATGGTAAACACCACAGCGTACACTATTGAGTTATGGATGCACGCGGGAGGTTGCTAAGCACGAAAGAAGCATAAGAGTCGCTCGAGGCGATAGCTGAGAGCGACTCTAGCTTCTTGAGTGCTTGGCAAACCTCCCAAGTGCATCCATAACTCAATAGTGTACGCTGTGGTGTTTACCATTTGTT